TGCATCCAAGAAATACATATATATTCATACATGTATATGTGAGTCAAATAATAGTAAGACCACCTATGAATAATAAGAAACGTTACAGTACACGTGATGACAGATTTATAATGTCGGAAATTTTTCTTATGCTCTGAGTATCGAGTGTCAATGATCTAATATGACCGTTGGTATCGCATAAACAGATGTCGAAATATAAATAAGAATTTAAATAATTGATTAAATAATTTAATCAAACCGAGATATTTAGTTCTGTGAATGGTAATAAAATTTTGTTGTGAGAAAAAATTATTTAACAATAACACTGTAGATTAAAAAATTACCGTTGCTTAGCTATTTTAAAAATTTATTATTATGTATCATAAAATATACCAAGTAAAAAAAATATTCCTAAAGGGTTAATTGATGAATTCTGAATTTAATTTTTTTTTCAATTTATATAAAAAAATTATGTTTCCATGATATACATATATATGAGTCAAAATAATAGTAATACCACCAATGATTAATAAGAAACGTTGCAGTACATGTGATGATGGATTTACAATGCCGAAAATTTTTCTTATCCTCCAGGTATCGAGTGACAATGACCGTTAGTATCGCATAAACATTTTAAAATAAACAGATGCCGAAATATAAGAATTTATACGATTGATAAAATTATTGATTTAATTAAACCGAGATATGCAGTTCTGAGAATGCTAATAAAATTTTGTTGCAAGAAATAATTCATTTAACAATAATACTATAGATAAAAAAATAACCGTTGGTTAGCTATTTTTTAAAATTTATTATTTATCACAAAATATGCCAAGTAAAAAAAATCGTCATAGAGGGCTCATTAATAAAAATGAATTCTGAATTTAATTTCTTAGTGTATTGTGAACCGTTATCTAAGTAACCTATTAAAAAAGAAAATGGAAATAATACTCGACATGCAGGAATTTAGAGGTCCTCATAATAAGTTTATCATGAAAGAATTCGCATCAATAACTATCCAGAATGAAATCAATGGAGTAGAAGAAATTACACCTACTCTATTTCAACAACCTTATCACTGGAAATCACAATCAAAGCATTACCAACGTTTCAATACCTGGATCACTCGCAATCATTATGGACTTTCATGGGATACAGGAAATATACCCTACTGTGACATTAACAAAGTTATTAATTACACCACACATGATAAGAAATATATTTATGTTAAAGGTGTTGAAAAAAAATTATGGTTGCAAGCATTCATTGCAAGTGATAAAAATATAATAGATCTAGAAGACTTTGAATTTCCTACTTTAAAAGATAATAATATTTATGATTATTGTTCTCATCATTATAATTTAAACAAAAATATGTTTGTTTATTACTCATGTGCTTTAAAAAAATGTGAAATTTCTAAACAAAATTGTTTATAAGTAAAAAATAAAATATTATTATTATAGCGGCAGGATGGCCGAGCGGGTTAAGTCATTATATCGTTAATCCGTTCGTCCATCATGCCGTGAGGCGAGGGTTCGAGCCTCGACAGTTATTCGAATAGTTCAAAACTAACCGTCGGGGGTCGCTCCGGTAGCCGACTGTACTGGCATGGGCTTTCTCTGTGGTTTCCCCATTGCCACTATTCCTGTAACCATTCGAAAGAGGTGAGGAATAGGGTGAATACAGTACAGGAAGCACAAGTCGGTCCACAGCCGCAAAAGATACGCAGAGATTATAAAAGTTGAAGGAAGAAAGTTGCGACATCTATGTGCGAAATTTGAAAAAGGCAGACACTTTGAAGCAGTGAAATTTGAACGCAGTGAAAAATTTGAAAGAAATTCGAACGCAGTGAAATAGAGAGAGGCAGTACAATTGTGATGAAAAAGTTGTAAAAGGTAGTTCTTACCGCTGTACAATGTAACAAATCTATCTATCTATTATTATTATTATTTTTATCATTTGATAAAAAAAATAATTCTGAGACGAAAAGTCCTAAGCCATTTTTTTTAATTAGACGCATAGATAATTAATTATTAATTAAAATAACGTCTCTTTATGTGTCAGAGAGAAAGAACGCCAGTGTCCAGTAAATTATGTGTCAACCCTGTTGTAAAATGCTGAAAGAGCGGAAAAACTAAGGATCAGGTTTCGGTCTGGTTATCTCAATTAAAATACAAAAATTATTATTAAAAATAACACTAGAGTTTATTTAACTATAATTACAATCAATATTTAACTTGTTTAATATCGGATTGGTTAAATAAAAGCGGATATGTTATACACAGCGTGGTTAGCAAAAGCGAAGCCGTTTAGCACGTGGTTGAGTAAACTGCCGGCACTGTAAAAAGCGGTAATTACTGCACAATTAATTATAATTAATCTGAAACAAATTAAATAAATTAAATGCAATCAATTAAAGCGAATTAAACTATAAGAATTAGCGAACAGCGGTTAATTAGCAAGGCGAAAATTATATATGCGAAAAAGCGACTTGTTCGTACGAAAGATGGATGCGAAAGATAATAATAATAATTCGTCTTCTTCCTCGTCTTGGAGAAGAAGGCTACTGCGCATGTCTAACGAGAGCGATAGCCAATCAATAAATTCGTTCTATTGATGTCGACATCGATAGCCAATGGTAAAATTCGATACCTGTGGCGTGATCAGTCAGGCGGTTTTACGCATGCGGGTGAGAAATAGCGGGAACGATGGCTTGTCAGGTGCGTGTTGTAAATTTGGAGAGCCCACAGTGACGTATTGCTCATTGAGTGGGCCTGTTCACTGAACACCAGGATATATTTATTGACAAACAGAAAAATTTAAATTATTAATTACCGTGTACACACAGTTATCAATAAAATGGTTAAAATATTTTATGCTCAATTTTTATCAATTACTTTCCAAGCAAATTCTTTTAAGCCAAAAATGAAATCTGACAATTGAATTTAAAAAGAAATTTGCGACTCAATTATTATTAATAGTCTGTGAAATGTAAATTATTGAGTACTGTGTTAAAACAATAATTAATGAAAAGCTAAAAATGTCAGAGACTTGATATTTATCATTAATGTTCTGTGCAAGTCACTTTTAGCATCAAATTCAATCAGATAACTGCTCAACATAATAATTTATTGCCACAATATGATTTTTAATGAACAATAAAATGCAAGTAATTGATTACTGTGTATCAACAGTTATATATAAATACAAGAAATATTTGATATTTTATGTTGATTAATTATTTTCTGTGCAGATAAATTGACGTTGAATATTATAATATATAATATAGGTTTAAAAAAAAAATTATTGCTTCAAAGTAGTTATTTTTAATCCCTACAATGACAATTGTTAATTACTGTGTACAGACAGTAATTAACTAAATGCTGAAAATAATATATATTAAATATTGATCAATTATTTTTTATACACATAAATTTATGCCACGAATTATATCAAATATTGAGTTTTAGAAGAAATTGTCGCCACCAAATATTATGAAGGGTTAAATTAATTAAATCAATTACTGTGTGCACCCAGTTATTAATAAAATGCCAGAAGTATCTGAAATTTTATGGAGATTTATCATTTCAAGTGTAGATCAAGTTACGTTGAATATGATAATATATAATATTAATTAAAAAAAAATTTACTACTTCAAAGTAGTAGTTTACAATCTGTAAAATGACAATTGTTGATAACTGTGTACAGCCAGTAATTAATAAAATGCTGAAATTGTCTTATATTAAATATTGATCAATTATTTCCTATACAAATCAATTTATGCTAAAGATTTCATCAAATAATTAGTTTCAGAAGAAATGAATGCCACGAAATATTTTCAAGGCAATAGTTAAATTAAATGAATCAATTACTGTGTACAGCCAGTTATAAATAAAGTGCCAGAAGTATCTGATATTTTATAGTGATTAATTATTTTAAGTGCAGATCGATTAACGATGAATATATATTAGTTTAAGAAAAAAATTTTTCGCTTTGAAGTAGTTATTTTTAATCTGTAAAATGACAATAATTAATTACTGTGTATAGACAGTAATTGATAAAATGCAGGAATTGTCTTATATTAAATATTGATCAATTATATCCTATACAAATCAATTTATGCTAAAGATTTCATCAAATAATTAGTTTTAGAAGAAATGAATGCCACGAAATATTTTCAAGGCAATAGTCAAATTAAATGAATCAATTACTGTGTACAGCCAGTTATAAATAAAGTGCCAGAAGTATCTGATATTTTATAGTGATTAATTATTTTGTGCCGATCGATTAACAATGAATATATTTTAGTTTAAGAAAAAAATTTTTCGCTTTCAAGTAGTTATTTTTAATCTGTAAATTGACAATAGTTAATTACTGTGTGTAGACAGCAATTAATGAAATGCTGAAAATGTTATGTATTAAATATAGATTAAATATTTTCCATACACATCAATTTATGCCAAAAATTATATTAGATAATTAGTTTTTGAAGATATTATTGCCACGAAATATTTTCAAGTCAACAGTTAAATTAAATAAACCAATTACTGTGTACACCCAGATATTAATAAAATGCTAAATAGTATATTTCTCCTCCTCGACGGAGGCGGAAAGCGACATTTTCATTTAGCGCAGCGGAAATCCTCTTTCTCCTCCTTCCAGAGGGGAGATTTTTAAATGGTGATCAATTTTTTTGTGTGCAAATCAATTTATGTTTATGTTTTTACTCCGTTTTTCGATTATCGAATTTTTATCAGATCTCTACGTTCTGAGGTCCTACGAAGCTTCCCTTACTATTCCCTCGCGCGCGCTTTGGACTGGTTTGGACCGATTTGGACTGGTAGATTTTGATAAATTCAAACTGAAGGATTTTTTATGAGGCTTCAAAAACTACGTCGAATGTCGCCAACCGCGTGAAAATTGATTCATTTATTGAAAAGTTATTGCCGTTTGAACGTTCAAAAAATAGTGTTTTATCAAACTGCCATCAGACTTTTAAGCTCGAAGAAATGTTCAAAAGCATAGAATAGTATATTACACACCTAGGGAAGTAAAGTAAGAAATGTCTCAGATCACATGTAATTGTTGGCCGAGGCGAAGCCGAGGTCAACAAACATGTGGTCTGAGGCTTTCTTATTTACTTCCCGTGGAGTGTATACTATTTTTTTGCTCGACGAAGGCAGAAAGGGGCAACTTCGTTTAGCGCAGCGGGCCGAAAGTTGACGCTTTCTGCCCGTCGAGCAAAAAAAGCAATTTCTCTTAGCTTGAAGTGTTTAAAATAACACATAAATTGTATTTTTGAGTTCGATGAGCTCAAAAGCGTCATAAGTGCAATTACAAGTTGCACTTTGGGCAGCTTAGGGATGGCCACTTAGGGATAGTCTTTAGGGTCAACCGTTTTCCGGATTTTATTTTGCAAATTACATGAGGTCACAAATGTGATTTGATAATTGGTCTGTAAAAAATATATTCCCAGGACACATTTATTAACAAGCAGTAGAATGAAAGTCATTTATTACTGTGTAAAATTTGTAATCAATAAAATACTAAAATTATTCAATGTTTTATGTTTATTAATTATTTTATGTGCAAATTAATTTACACTACTAAATATACCAATCAATTTTTATAAAAAGTTATTGCTACCCAATATTTATCGATCAACGATGAAATGGAAGTTATTTATTACTGTGTACACACATTAATTAGTGAAAGGTGGAGGAAATCTCATTTTCTACGGGTTCGTCTACTCTCGTCATAAATTACTTTCTTTTTTTAATTGTAATGAGTAATGGATCAATCTTAAAAATATTACCGTCACATATTTATGATTAATTAACCGGATAAAATTAATTCATTACTGCGCTCTCACAGTAATGAATAAATTGTTAAAATATTTAATTTATATGTGACTAATCATTTTCATTATAAATTATTTTTCTTTGTTAAGTACATAAAATATTGAATCTATTAAGAAAACATTACGCTGGGATATTCATAACTAAACACTGAAATAATCTTAGTAATTACTGCGTACCTGCAGTAACTGATAAAATGCCGGAAAAATCTTTGAATGAGATTATGTTCGCCATAAATTAACTTCTTTTTCTTATCTTACAGTACAATCAGTCTATTTATACGATATCACAGTAAAATATTTCTCAGTGTTCAGAAATTTATAAACAAATAGATAAAAATCAAATGTGTATCTGTCTTCTTCAGATGTACTATTGTTATTCTTCTTCACTGCTCACATCTTCGTCAGTCGAATCGTCTAAGTAATCAGTCATCTTGAGTACATAATTTTTTAAATTCTTGATTACATAAAAATTTTCTAATTTATCGACCATGTATTCGATTGTTATGCCCGTTATCATTTTCGCATCTAATTCTCTCCAAAATGAATGAATTTCTTGATTAGATTCTTCTGTTTTTTTTTTTGCCTCTCGAGTGCAATACGTCCCAATTTCTATTTGTGCCTTAATTCGACGTGATTTTTCAAAAACTTTTTTTAGTCCATCTAAAATAGAATATGCGTTATTTTTTTGTACTCAATTAATAAAAATTACATTGCTATTTATATTAATTACATTTGAGATTTTCTGTTCACTAAATGATGATAAAGTTGATAAAAATATAAGTTTGAATTTATTTCAACTCAAATACTTACTAATGAAAACGTTGGTATGTGAATGTGCCGCTACTAACTTATTCATATCTCGATGAAAAGATTCCTGATGGTTGTTGGTTCTGTCACTTAACATGCCATAAACAGTAAAGCTTTGAGGTTTAATTTTCAAAAGCCAAGAACTTTCAAAATATGCAAAAAATTCCTTGAAAGTTTCCCCGTGTGTTTCTTCAGCTTTTTTTTTCACTAGATTATATACTTCCATTATTAATTCGGCAGGTAACAGTGCCAGTAACTTAATTAAATGGAGAACTATAAAAATTTCTGGTACAATTCTTTTGGTTTTTTTTTTTTGATATTAGCCCTAATTTTTTTGCTTTGCGAAACAGGGCCTAAAACATTAAAGATACATTTTTTTTCTATTAATTAATAAAATTAAAGCTTATTCTTAAGTTGCTTATTGTAATACTGACTTGCGCATAGTGAAAGTAACAGTGCCTTGGCATTATTTCGGGAAAAATACGTTCGATCGCATTGTGAAGGCCTATCTCGAAATCTGACATGTATGACTGTGGTGTGAATGTTGGAAATTTTTTCTTAATAAAGCTGAAGATGTTAGTATAACATTCCTCATCTTTATTACTCATCAAAATCATCACACATGGAATAGGCTAGATAAATCAATTGTGAAATTAGTAAATGTTTCAAAAATTACAATGAGTGAAGAGATGTATATATCTCCAAATAAAAAGTTGGTTTGGTAAAATGCGAAGCCTTGAGTCTTCCATAGGGGGGGGGGGAGGGGGTAGTAGTAATCATTATAAGGGTAGTTAGTGCTCGAACACATTTTCATTAATCTGATTGTATTTATTTTATTTGTCATTAACTTTACTAATATATTTACTTTTTTTTGTTTTTAACCTTTCGTTGGTCGCGCTATGAGCGAATCGCTGCCTAACAACTACTCAACCTATAGAGACTCGCTATAGTGCGAGCGAGAAACTAAAAAAAGCGCGACCAACGAAGGGTTAACATATTTTGTATTGATCAATTATGTATCAGTGTTAGTGTACAAATTATTTGTGTGTAATTTTTATTTTAATCTAATTTTATTCCAGGCATATTACCCACGCATAGCGCGCGGTTCATTTTATGTATATATATATATATATATATATATATATATATATATATATAT